ATTTCATCCCAGCTCGCGCTATTGCGATCACCCTTTTTTTGGACAGGTTATAATTTGATCAAAAGTCGACGTTTTAGATCATTTTAAGCTGTCGGTTAGTCTGTATGTATATGGCAATTTTCCGAAGTATCGACTCGACGGATTTTGCTCAAATTTGGGATATGTATATTAGGCATACGGAAACGAAAACTAACAGACCGCAATGGCAATTAACTTTTTTTTTCAAATAGCAACTTAACATTTTTATTTAGCTATTCGAAATAGCTTATTTCTCTGTGTACAACCTACAAAAATTGTGTTAAGTTTTATTACAAACAAACGGAGAAAGAAAATGTTTGAGTTGTTAACACCGTGACGTCATACAACTTTTTTTTCAAATTCTATCCCATATTTTTTAATAGATTATTTTAAAGCGATTATTTTTCGTTCTTTAACCTACAAAAATTAGGATAGGTATTATTATAAAAAACTTGGGAAAAAATATTGAGGTCAACCCTGTTTCATGTCGGACGCAAAGGTGCTGGACGAGGGACTGTGTTTGAATCGCCTCACGCTCGACGGAATTCTGGGAGTGAGGTGAAGCAATGAAATTCAGCTACATTTATATCAAACGGTTATGGAAAATTTCACGAAAAGAGTTCATGTGTGCCAGCAGAACCGTGGAGGTCACTTACACGATATTCTATTTCATAAATAATAGTGTATAATTTATGAATCAATTAAAAAATCGCCATTACCTGTGTTTTCTACTAAAATTACCTCTTGTGTGCATGTTACGACACCCTTTATATTAAAATTCCAAAACTCTTCAGTATTAAAACTGTGTTATTTCATATTATTTCTTTATAGTCGATCCGGCTATTTCGTATACCGCCTATTAGTCTGTTGTGTAGCTATTTTTTCTCGTTCCCGTGGTAATTTCGTGCTTTCAGAGAACATTTTTACGCGTTTCAAGAAACCTACGTTCTAAATGTGCAGCCTCTATCTTCGGCAGTGTCGACTGTAAAAAGTAAAATCCTGTTTTTTTTCCGTTCCCGCTTCCGTGGAAATTTCGTGAAGAGTTTTACTAAATTAGAAACCTTCGCGAGCATACGTACAACCATTCCCCAAAGTTTAATTGCAATCGGATGAATGGTTCAGGAAGGAATAGGAGACATACAGACAGATATTCATTTTCATTGTTGTAGAGAACAAACTATACCTATGCAAATAACAGAAATGCTAAATAATATATAAAATTTAAACTCTAGGTTCATATCCAGACGACGACAGCGTGTTTTTCATGAAATTGGTAAATCAAATTTTTCCCAAATTTGGGCATCATTCTAAAGTGATTTGAAAAAAAAGCGTCTCTTTTTGCACTAATGGGGGACGTATATCTACCAAAGGATACATAAAAAGGCGTCTACTTCAAGTGTCGAGATCTCGTCCCTCAAACGGACGGTCAACGCCCGTAATAGCGCATTCTAAAAAATGCGTTAACAATCCAGCACTAAAGAACTTTTTCTTGTCATTTGTCAATTATTAAGGTTACTCAGATCCTTTATAGTTTTGTATTGTGGTCTGTCGGTCCGTCCGTGTGCGCTCTAACGCTTTTTAAAAGTGGCCCATTGTGTTGAAATTTAAATTTCAATATAACTCTTCTCTGTGGTATAGGTCGAAAGTTTTAGAGCAAAATGTACTCAAAATTATTCTTTACACATGAATTTAGAGTTTTAAAAGCTTTCAAACGCATTATCTTGATGCTGAAATAGTACCTACAACACGTGCACATTTGATAATCGCATGTGTGTGATTCAAAGATGTTAATTTATTTTTCTGAGGTAACATGGATTTTGATCAAAACATGTCAAAATCGTTATTTATGCACCAAGAATATTTATGCCAAGAATTTGATGCATTTTTGGCGACTACGTGGATTTTGATCAAACATGTCAAAATCGTTATTTATTAACACAGCGAATAAACGCAAGTGAGTGTATTTTTTGGTGTTCGAATATTTCTTGCATAAACGTGAATTCGAACTTATCAAAATGAAAAACCTAAGTTATCCAGGTCTGAAAAAGAATTAACAAGTACCTAGAGACTTGGGGAAAATTAGTTATAGGTACTCCGTCCAGGACTTCGTCATTCTTGATTTATAAAGAACCCACGTAACGATTGGACACATCGAGGTATTGCGTATGCGGACAGCCGGACCAATAGGACGAAATTATATTTTAGAGGATTATTAGGGTCTTCCGACGTAGCAAACCGTATCATAAGTCAGCAGTGGACTAGATGTGACACATTTAATGCGATTCGTCGAGGTCTTTTTATGAAATGGCCCCAATATTCGGACATTTGCGTTCGTTTTGACCCAACTGACGAACACTTCTGGGTCATACCCTTTACCTTACGTTGGACTTTGACTACCCTCTTTCGACGACATTCCTTTCTCGAGATGTATGACGAATGATTGCCGATATCGTTCACCTAGGGTCAACGTATGATACACAATTCCATTCGTCGACACGATTAGCCTAAGCTCTAAGTACCTATGTTATTCCACTAGTCCATGACTTTGTGAGACATGCACGGGATAGGCTACAGTAGGCAAATGAATGAAAACTGTTCCTCGGCAAACCAAAATCCGATCCCACCATTCACTCACTATTCTGGAAAGTTTATCGTTAAAAACTTCCTCTCAAAAAGAAGTAAAATCAATGTTTGCTATTGCTCTTCCCAGATTGATTAACGATTTTTGACCTGTTACGAGTGTTCAACGAATTCTGGTTGTACTTAAAACCTGGTAAAAAAATCCATTGACTGGAAAGGGAAGAAACACAACACGTCCAATTGCGATTGTGGTTTGAAATATTTTGTCCTCTACTTTTCACGAATTCCACCAATGACAGAGAATAATATAATCTACCCTTATGATTGCCATGACGATAAGATAAGATCAAAGAAAAGTTAATAGATGCAATCCATTACACGCAACTACATACATCCGTTATGTTTTAACATGCACTCAATTATACAAAATCCTACTTTTATAATATTTCCAAATACGACTTAATTACCGCAATATTAAACCGAGATTACCTTGTGTTTTGTACATGCTTACGGTAATAAATAATTAAATGCAGTATAACATTAAAATTAATACCTGTAATGTATGTCCACGTACGAAGAAAATGGTAAGGAAGTAGAACTTTCTCTTGTCGTACGCCTATAATTTTCAAGTATAATAAAACTATTGATTGCCCTTTTGTCCCGCAGCATAATACATCCACTTAGATTTTGAAAGGTGGGCAGTAATGTTCTATAAGAAAGTTGCCTTTAGCAAAATTCCAGATTCGCGTGTTTACGATTTTCATACTTCGGTGTCGCATTTTTATTAGTTGACACTTTTTCTCGTCTAATTGCTAGGCAACAGATTTTCATTACCTTAACAACCTAAATTTATTTACTGGGTAAAATACAAACCTCTTGTGCAATAAGTGAAAAATGGACGCTATAAACGTTGTGGGATGTTCCACCGATACAATCCTGTCGAAATCTCATGAAGCAACCGAAAAGTTGGTTCCTAAGAAGTCGGCCGCAAGGTATGAAAAAGAGTACTAAGTGTTTTGCCAATGGAGGAAGGAACATGGGGCGAAACAAGTAGAGGAAAAAGTCATGTTGGCATACTTTTTGGATGCGGTAAGTTTTTGAATTGAGATTTTTCTGCCTGGGTTTCGGTGTTAAAGCGTCATGGGGCATGGAAAGCTCATCGACGGTAAAAAAATACATCGAAGACTCGGGCAGAAAGAAAAGTTAAGATTTCCCGTAAGACGCAAGGCGGCGAAAATTTCATTGAAGTTCTACAGTAGAAGGAAACAAACAGTACTAACTCGACATCCAGTAATAACCCAGACGTTAGTGGTGAGGGCAATACAAATTGTTTCATTATAAATGTTAATGTTTGAAATAAATAATTAACAGCCAAATTTATCTTGGGGTTATTAGATGTCAAATTTGATGGTTACAAATAACAGTCCGGTAAGTGTTGCTTAGCAAGACTTATCGGCTCTGATGCTGTAATAACTCGCCTACCGGACTCAAATTGATAGTCTAATGTGTAATCGAACATCTACTGGACAGTATGAAATAAAATTTCATTTAAATATTTTAACAAATAGAAAAATCAAAATGCGCATGCTAGAAACAAATTTTTTGACTAAGCATTACTTTTACTTTTACTCGAGGTGCCTACATACAAAATTTCATTTGAATAGGCATCTTAACAAATAAAAAAAATACAAAAGTTGAAATGCGCATCTGCATATGGTTGCTTGAGGTTTAAAGAATATTTACCGACAAAGAAAATCGGACATTTATTTGTTCTTTGTAACAAGAACTATAAATTATAACAGTTACCCTTTTTGGAAGATTCGGGTAGTTTTTAGGCTGTAACTGCAATGAAAAACAATAGCGACCTTTCTTATATCCTTAAGAACATGTGTACGAATTTTAAAAGCGATCGGACATTTCTAAACGAAGTTATCGTGCACACGGACAGACGGACGGACAGACAACAGTACAAAATTATAAACGATCCCAAGAATCGTTAATAAAACTATATTTTTAAGAAGAATGCAATAGAAATTGGGGATTATGTCTTATAAACCTTTATGCTTGGTTGCTATACTATCATTTTCGAAAGTATTTTCTAGTCACAATCGTTTAATTATAAGCGAGATTATAAGTGAAGGAACGTTTTATAAAATTATATTAATATCAAAGTCAAGTTTATATTGCTTTTTCCCACAAAGTAATAAACCAAAGGTAAACAAATAAAACGAACAAAGCAAATAATAATTAAGAGAACGACTTGAAACATGAATGAATTTGCACGTGAAAATTTATCAGTAGGCGAGTCAGTAGGTATAATAGTGAGTAGCGATCATAATAGGTACCCGTAATTCATACTACAATTCATACAACTTACTGAAAAATATTTAAGATAAACTTACCTTAAATTTATCGATAAGTATTTTATTAAGTAGATCAGAATGCGGCCTAGTCTTATTAGACGAAAGTGGTCTTCGGCGTACTGCTTGAGGACTATCCAAGTCGTCGCCTGGTGGATCGGTGTCGTGGGATTCCGAGCTGTCACCACCTGCACCCCCGGAACCAGACACAATCTGTAAGGGTGCATTGAAATTAAAACTCTATTATTCACCATTCAGTGGTAGGGGCAAATTGTACTGATTTGAGACTGGTTCAACGAACGACTGTCAATCATATGCTGGGGTAACAAAGAACCAGTAGAAACACTAGAAACCTCTTTATTTTTTAAGATGTTACAGTAGAAGTTGTATAAAATGGATTTAGTGTTATAAACCAGTCGTCTTGTTGCCGTTTTAAGTGTACGCCACTGAAGTAAATGATAATAACAAAAATGAGAGAATTAAACCGTAAAACTTTGGCGTTCAGTCAGTGCCACTAACATTTTATTATGGATTTGTAGAACTCCATTTTTGTTGTCATGGGTGTCAAGAAATGAATGAATCCAGTTATTCAGTCAAAAGTGTGCTTGAAATTGCGCTATAATTTGTAATAATAACTATTATGTATTGTCCTGTAATTGGAAGGTCTGTTCTGTTGGGCAATAAATCTCTATTATTATTATTATAACAGAAAGAAAGTTGTGAAATATGAAGTTATCAAAACTGTCGAGAAGGAGAGAAGGGAAGATGGGCAGGTTGATAATAAGGTGCTATTATTTTTACTATATTATAACACACTGGCAATACTGAGAGTTCAGGTCACACTGTACACAGTTAGTACTGTAAAAGAAAGTGGTATCTAACTGGGATTTTTAAGTTTAAGTTGGTGTTCCTTCCAATGTGCCAGTACAACTATTTCTACTGATGTATTGCCAATGGATTGTATAAAGTACATCTAAAACCTTTACATAATAATTAGTTTCTAAAACAATTCTATATTCGACAAGTTTAGTGCAATCTTTCGGCTTTATCTCTGGAGAGGGAAGCGTGAATCTTTGCGGTATAGATGATCTACAATCAACGTATATCAAGCTTAATTTGAGTAAAAAATTTCCAAATAAACAAATAAATTTTTGCCATCAACTAGTTGATGTTGCAAATATGTTAATTACTCGTTGATCATCAGCATCACTGTTACATCTATGTACCGTATCCCTAAGATCATAAACGTACAGTTATATATCGTGCTCTAAATGCTATACGTTATTGGTTATTCAACAAATGAAATTATACTAGTAGGATGTTTATTTCCTGGATACGTCACCGTATCCCTTCAATGTTGATATCAAAGTGACGTGTTAATAAATTCATCACATTAATTAAAGATAATAATAACCTACAAATCGTTTTAGAATCTGCAAACACCACAACACTAGTGGTTATTGCCGCCAATTTCTGTCGACCACGATCTCTCATAGTTGGAGGTAATAGCACAGTATTTCAAAATTTTTCAGTTACACTGTCTATAAATTTTACTTAAACGTTGATGTAAGGAAACTAACAATGAATTCTTCTACAACGTCGCATTAACTATTGGTTATATATCGAGCGCCACTCTCTTCAGCTACGGGAAAAAGTAACAGACACATAAATAATGACAGAATTTGCTCGAAACAGAAACTAATAAAGGTAAGATTACGTACGATCGAGTAAGAAAATAGAAACACCACAACCTACAAAAATCAACGTTAAAAAAAGAAAGGGAACACAAAATTAAAAAGCTACATAAACTAAACATAAAAATGTGTGTTCCAAAAATGTATGGAAAGTAGGAGTAATGAAAATGTATGTGTAACTTGAAATAGGTATGTTATATAATAAAACTCTTACCAAGCTATTCTAGCAGCAGCCTAGTAAAAATTTGACAAACATTAGTGTTAGCCATGTAAAAAAGTTTAATTGTGTACCTACTTATCAAAGTAATAAAACTATAAACAAATTAGGTGTGTCGTAAATGTTTACATACCTCAATCTGAATTCCGCTATCGCCGCTATTGCATTTTGTACTCCTCGCTGCTTTATTTGTTTTTTTCCTCTCTTTACTAGAGCGCCAAATTAAGGGACCAAACCTTTAAATTATAGTAATAACGTTAAGCATCTCATAAAATTGAACAATGGTAAAGATATACACGTAATATACATCTAATAACGCATGCATCTACCTTAGATGCCTGCCGATATGCACAAAAGAATTAAAAAAAATATTAGCACTCTATACGAAAAGCGGCATAAAATATGCATTAGGTTTAAAAAGATGATATACAAGGGTAGTTCTTGTGTCGAGCTTTAAAAATGATGAGAGAGGATTTGAAATTACTTTCAGTAAAAGATGATGCTTGTAAATGTGTACGTTTGGGAAAGTACTGACAAGAATTTGTAGCCTAAACAGGTAGCTTAACGCTTCATTCCGATTAACGAGCGTGTCAAGTATTATTAAAGAAAATGAAATTGAATAAATCCTACAGTTATTATACAATGTTTTCATACGATGTCGTTTTAAAAGCCTGGAAGCCGACCTCTCTGATTACATGCCTCTTTTATTGAAGACATCCTCAAAACCGAACGTCATATTACTCATATTCGGTTCAGTGGATGCCTCTCGCGGCATCTTGGTTAGCGTCGAGTTTTCTAGTCGAGGTCCCCCGCGCACTGGCCGGGCTTGTTCTTGGGTTGTTAGGGAGCGAACTCATAATTCGACACGCCAAGATTAACGAGCGGCAGTTTCCGCCCATTTTGGGAAAAGGACTCCCTAACCACCTTACGTTATAACTTATATTCATATGTTTTCTAGGCTTAAGTTTAGTTCAGTAAGCGTGGTTGGTAAATACAGTCCACTTAGTGTAAGAATTAGTGTAAAGTGCTACAATAAAGGAAACCGTGAAAGCACTTGTTCTTATTTCAAATCAACATCTACCACAACTGGGCTTGCTGGATTCACATGGGTAAAGACATCATTTGAATATGCGAACACTACAATTACTTTTATTCAAAGTGTCTCCATACAAAATTTCATTTAAATATCTTAACAAATTAAAAAATCACAAAAATAAATTTTTTGAATCGGCATTAGTTTTACTTTTATTCGATGTGAGTGTAGTACTTTGTCTGACGCTGTCAATAGCAACGAGGATGTATACAAAATTTCATTTAAATAACTTAACAAATAAAAAAGTTGAGTGCGAATGCGCAAAACAAATTTTTTGATTCGGTATTAGTTTTACTTTTATCCAGGCTTTTATCCGAGGTGCTTATACATACAAAATTTCATGCAATTCCGTTCATAACTAACGGAGATGTCAAAACCGTCTTCTTAATTTTTTGGCCTACATTGACAATTCACGAACTCGATCCACAAAATGCTCTATAAATAATTATTTTGTTTGTTTTTTTGCAACTTTTTACATTAAGTGACTGGGGATCGCGAGATGAAAGTAGTTAGATGAACTTAATATCATTAAAAACAAGATATTTATTTTTTTTTTTGAATATAAATTTTATTTAAACAAATGAAAAATTAAAAATTTCTAAAGATCAAACATTCATAATAAATAATAAATTTCTTCCATGGGGATCGCAGTTGTAAGCGTCCCCATTACACTTATATTATATTATTATATTATATTATATTATATTATATTATATTATATTATATTATACTATATTATATTATATTATATTATATTATTATATTTATTCATCCGTCGTGGCATAATTGCGATTTTTTGCAGTTAATTTCGAGAGCCGTTATGTTCATTTTAGGTCCATTTACGCGCAACAAAACCTAGTTAATAAACCGATACAATGAAATATCGAAGGATCCTCAGTATTACAATAACTTTTTTAACTCGTTTTTTAACGACCATTTATTTTAATCTTCCAAAATACATTTTATATACAAAAATGCATCAAATTCATGTCTTGCGCATTGCGATAATGCTCTTAATTTTGTTCCCAATGATCTTGGTGCGCATGAATAATGATTTTGACCTGTTTTGATCAACATCCGGGTGGTCGTCAAAAATGCATCAAATTTATGTCTTCGGCATTGAGATAATGCTCTTAGTTCTTTCCTAGGATCTTGGTGCCTGAATAACGATTTTGATACTGTTGTGATATTTTGTCTGGCAGGACGAAATTTTGGGATTCTTAACTAGAATGGACAAGGACGGTTTCAATGTAATTAATTTTCATAATTTAAATTTTTGTTTTGTATCGTTCGTTAAGTACTTCAACAGAAATTATTGTTACGAAAAAGAGGTCAAGGTTTTGCAGTGTTTACATTTTAATCTCATTTTTGATTTATTTAACGTAGATTTCTGAGAATTTTATATCGCTTTTATTCTGTTATCATTGTAAACGCTTAATTTAATTGACAGGTGGATGTTATTTATCGCCTTTTCTTTGTATTTAAAAGACAGAAAATTCTATTTTTCCTAGTATTTTAATTTTGTGTTATCTCTTAATGTCGGTTAAAAATTGATTATAAAAATAATTTCTACCTCTAGTTTAACTTACGTTAGTGGGAAAATTTTCTGTTGTCAACTGCTTATCATTGGCTATTATAATTTGTAATTTTGGAAGAAGGGTTTCCATCTTAAATAGAACGGACTGAGAAGAGGAAAGGCTTTTTGCCAGAGTCAACGCAGAACTACGTTTCTTTGTTTTGAAATCAGCGTCTTGAGAGTTTGAAAGCAGATCCACATTTACATGAAGTTTGAGGTTGTGTTTTGGAGTTTTGAAGTTTTTAATCGTCAGTTTGTTGCCAGTCAGGGCAGTTTTTGAGTTGAGTGAAGATTGTTTATTTCGCTTCGGCGAGTTACCGCAGTAGTTTGGATTGTGTAGAGGCCAGTCAGTTTTGGAAGTTGGTGGAGTTTCCGTTTTACGGAGTGGAAAACCGACTTGCGGCAGGTTTGTGTGGCGTCAGTTTTGGAAGTTTGGACCTTCAGTAAAGTGGGTCAATAAGGTGTGGTCGGCGCCGACTTGAGTGTTTTTTTTTGTGTAATTTTGAATTTTGTTGTTTTTTTTTGTGTACCGTATTTAGGATTAGCAGCTTTGGACATGTACCGAATGTAAGTAAGATTAAGTTTTAATTTTAGTTTTTTTCTTTGTAATAATTGTTTGTTTTTCTTGTTGTTTTTTTTTATTTGTGTAACCATTAAAACTGAAATTTGTAATTCTCACATTAATTTCTGTGTTTGTCTTTCGAACGATTTCATTTCCTTTCATTTACTCTTTTCTTTGGATACTTGCCCAAGGTCCATTTTATTTAATCAAAATTCTTAAGATCGATTTGGAATTTAACGAGGAATTTAAGGTATTTGGTCTAACCCACTATCTGGTAGAAGTTAATAATTTAACTTAGAAAAAAGTCGAATTCCTCCTCTGTGCTGGGGAGAAGTTTTGTTCCGAGGAAGATAAAGGTTTGAGCTAGCTAGGTTTGTTTAGGTGTTTTGTGTACGGTCTTTTTGTCCTACGGAACGATGCACACAGCAGTTTTATTTCTGTGCGTAATCACGATCTCGAGGATTAGTTTCAACAATTTTTAGCCGGTTTTTTGTGGGTTCGCGATTCATACGACACTTTCTTCCACCAAATTTTACATTCATCACAAAGATAACGTTACCGGGTGGTGCAGAAGGTCAAGTGCACCATCGAAACGATCCGTTTCCATATTTCTAAAGCAAGCGATAAGATCAATTTGTTACCAGAAAAGAATGTTACCCACGTAAAGAACTGTAAGTTATTTAACAAAATCTCATTTGTATAAAGTAGTGGTCGGTTTTTTCTAGAATTTGCACAAGCAATTTTGTTGGAAGTTATTTTAATATTTAATATTTTATGAACCACGCCACTAAGTCCAATAACTTGACAAGAAAAGTGAATTTTGATCGCTTTTGTTTTAATGAATATATTCGATCAAGGGGTATAAATACATTCTTATTACTGAGCCACTATAAAATAAGGGTATATTTTCCTACAAACATGTCATGTACTTTACGTTGTAAAGATATCCCTCATTGCTGGCACATTTCGGCAATCTTTCAGACGAGTAAAATTAAATTTAGTTTAGCATCAATAGGTACTCTCATTAATTGTTTTTGATTTAAACAAGCCCGAACAAGAACATAATTGTATATCTATTTCACTTTTCAAGACATCTTTAAGAGTGTTATAAATGGTGTGGGCTTACCTTTGTTTCTGTTCGGCATTTTCCTCTTTAACGTCTATCGAATCAGTAGCGATTAAAGACGGAACACGTTGTGGAGAATCTTCCTCCGAAGGCTCGCCCAAAATTTCTGGATACGGTTCGACCAAATCGATGCTGCCATCCTTGCTACACTTCTTTTGAAAACGTAACGAGAACGTCTTTTTAAACTTCTGCAAGACGCTCTCAGCCGTGCCGCCCCCTGCAAGAGAAAAACGAGGAAATCATTAATTACTCAAGGAAATGCGACGAAAACTTTCGGTTTCAGCACATGAACGACCGACGCTGCGCTTGTAAAGCTACTTTCAAAATTAAGTTTATTTATAACCGGCGTGGCTTTCAGTTAAATTGCGCATTTTGGTTTGAATTTACATTGAATAATAAATAAAACATGAGTTTGTTGGTGACGATATTATACGTTAATGCTTTCGTCTTCGTATCCAGCACATTGCACTGAGTTTTTGCGGCACGTCTGCTGCGCCAAGATTTGCTAAGGGTTGGGGTTAATTATCACATCATTTAAATGAAATATAAGTTTAATTTCCCTAGCGTTTCCTTTTATAGGATAATTTCGCAAACTAAACACCTAAAATCAAATCAGACTCAAAGATTTCTATACTATAATATAAGCCGTGAGGAAATGAGGCAAAGTATTATGCACGAGGCATGTATGGATTAGCTTATCCACCGTGGCTTATACACTCAACCCTTATGCGGTTAACACCCCAACTCCTTTACATTTCTGGAAATCGTATACTATGAGTGCAGTTGAAGTATTCACAAACAAAGGACAGATTACATCAATGTATGCAAATATAATGCAAAGCGTATATATCCTACATTTACATCAGGACCAATGCACTATGGAACTGACTCCCGGGAAACCGTATGAAACCGTTGCATACTTCCCTTTGAAGTTTTATATATGTATTTATTCATGAAATATCAGAAACTAAAAACGTCGCGTTGCGTTTACCCCCGTCAGATGAAACAGTACAGGGGGTACATTTGCCAACAAAACATGTAAAACAATCGCTGTACCTTCCTACCGTAAATTTTGGGGTTGTAATTTTGTCGTAGAAATTTCCGTTTCGGTTGTGAAAGGACATCTTGCTGTTTGCTATCGCAAAAGAATCTCGCGTTAGCTTTTCATGATGATTTTGTCGGCCCGTCCGTCCGATTGTCTATTTGTTCCTAATCTAACTATAGAACTAAAAGAGACAGCAACGTCGAACCTTTGGCCAATCGATTTCTACGAGTTAAAGGATCAATGCCAATCAATATGAGCCGGATTAAAGGTCGTGTTTCCGAATTTACATTGACTCAGTTTCATAACCATACATTATTGCACTTGATTAGTCACACTAAACTACTGATTTTTGCATTAAGAATTAACGGACTGTGTAACATCGTAAGTGTGTGAAATTCATAAAACACCGTTTTAGTAAGGAGTTTTTATTTTTGCCTGTGTGTTCTCTGATTATTGCATGGTGAACTCAAAATCAACAAGTAGACAGTCGGCTGTAGTTTTGATGGCGTTGTTATATGGGCTCCATTTGGATTCCTATATAATTCGTTCCAGGACAAAGACAAAGACGTTATTGACATCTTTTCTATTTTTCCACCCAATTTACAGATTTTAAGTCATTTAATGTTTACATTTCCTTCAAATATTCAACGATCTTGTGTTTGGTTGCCTTCAATATTATTTAGTTTAAATAAATATATCTCCTTTTGGGGTTTAGATGGAAGAGCAGGAGGGAGGTAATGCACCTTTCAACTGAATCTCGCCCCAGTTTTATGTAATCCATTATATTGTTTATTTCTTTGTAATTAAAGGCATTTATTATTATTATTATTATGGTCGGTGTTTCTTGTGAGAACTCAGGTCTAGCCTGGTTAACTAATCGCACGGATTAAAATCAAGTAACGATTAGTGTCTGTGTCTGTGTCTGGTGGTTATGTAGGGTCCTTAAAAAAAAAAAAAATCACACGTACATTGGACATCTAGGGATAGTATGTAATTCGTACTTACCAACATACCTATTGATGGGCACAATAGCCAACGCTATCAGGAAAGAGGAAAACAAAACAAAACAAAAATCATTATAATAATTCCTGTAATTTTATTAAATGGAGTTTATTGTGTAAGTGTTTTTATTATTATTATTATTATTATTATCGGTGTTTCTTGTGAGAACTCAGGTCTAGCCTGGTTAACTAATCGCACGGATAAAAATCAAGTAACGATTAGTGTCTGTGTCTGTGTCTGGTGAAGTTATGTAGGGTCCTTTAAAAAAAAAAAAAAAAAAAAAAAAAAAAAAAAAAAAAAAATCAAGTACATTGACATCTAGGGATAATGTAATTCGTACTTACCAACATACCTATTGATGGGCACAATAGCCAACGCTATCAGGAAAGAGGAAAACAAAACAAAAAAAAAATCATTATAATAATTCCTGTAATTTTATTAAATGGAGTTCATTGTGTAAGTGTTTCTTTGGCTTTGCTTATTATTATTAATTATTATTATTATTATTATTACTGGTTCATATGGAACTGTTTACATGTAAAGACTTTTTCATTAGCCCGACACTGCGTTGCCGAAAAAGTACTTCACTGCGAAAGAAAAGTGCCCAACGCCTGCGAAGTGTATTTGACATAAATCTGATGGCAGACTATCTCGAATACAGTACCGCCGCGCCGTGTAAAAGCGGTCTTATTTCCAGATTTCGAAAAAGTCTCAATTGCAGAAATGCAAAATATCTCATTCTTACTTCTAGTTCAAAATCGTTCAATGTAAAATCCTTACGGTCCCTAGAAACGCACAAACGAACACTATAGGTACATCCTCTCACTTGTATTACAACAATCACATCAGGCACTCTAGGAAAAGTGGATTTATTTATCATTATTTACTTTATAAACTGGCTTTTTTTTGTAAACCTCCCCGGGATCTGTATCAACATCCTCACAATACAATTGTCACGATAACATGTAAAGGAATAGAATTGAACCATCGATATGGGGATGATCCTGCTAACCACAATACGGTTTGGGTAAATATAATATTTATTAAGGTCATTTTGAATTAGAAATTAGGTCACCAGCGTCAACGCTCGAATATGGTAATTTAGTATAGAAACTACACTACCCTCCGGGGTTTACGGCATTGTCCTAATGGTTCATTAATTATACTGAAATATATGAATTGAGAAGCGCATGTAATGTCAAAATTCTAGGTGACGATACACTTGTTGTTCATCATGTGAATGAGCCGTTTACCTACACAAAATTGTGTTACGAGATAGACGTTGGTTTCAGTATGTGTGCTGCGTTTTGAACGTACACAATTTATGAACTGATAACAGGTCTCCATTGTTTGCATTACAATGGGCGTGGAAATGTAATCGCATTTCAAACTTGGTCGATTTCATCCCCTATCACTCCTTTTTAACTAATAAAATGAACAGGAGAGGAATTTGCAAGGTTTATAAATTGAGAAGTGGTAGGCACTTACCGGGTAAACTACGTTGAGAAACGAGATCTTTGGTCCCAACCTGACGTTGTCGAGCGTCACCCTTGCTGGACCATTTTCTGAAACCGTAATAAATTATTAAACGCCGCTTAAATCCGTTTCCGTGATAACATTAGTAAATTGAATTTCATATTTGATTAATTGAATTTCAAAATCCATCAATTAGTTCCAAACTACCTATAGCGTTAATGGACCTCGGTGTTCGACAACGATGAAATGATTTGTTCATTTTTCCATGCCTAATTATCGATCTGGACCTTATTGAAATTTAAAATGTATTTGAACGATCATCGCGGCTGTAGTATTTACTCGATTAGTAAAATAGTTCATTCTTTCAAAATTAGCGCAATATTTAAACTAATCTATTTCTTTTTCTATTGTGCTTGAATACCATGATCAGTGGACATTCAATAATTTTTCGCTGTTTACTCATTGTAATTCTTATCACTACTCGCGCCCCCTATAGTATTGTGGGGGGGGGGGGACAATTTTCAAATTTTCCCACTACCATTATGAATTTTAAATGAGCCGCATCAAAACATTACAAACTTTCGATCGCAAATGGCATGCACCAATGACACTCAAAATCTGTATATTTGGTACTTATTTTATTGAATTTTATCTCTGAACTAAATTACCAAAGGACGATTTAAGTCCTAGAATCGGTACGTACCTACATTTCTTAAATCTACGACGGAGTCATTATGACATATTTAGCATGGCCCGATTGGATAATAGCATTACTAGTGTTGTAAGTTCGATATGACGCGTTTCATGATGATATTCATATAAACCATTACCTAAATTTGCCACCAAAATCATTTCTGTCATTTGCTATTTCAGTTGTGTAAATTCCCTACAATAAATTAATGATGTTTAAAAGGATGCATAGGGAAATTCTTATGCATTCTCAAAAAAATATCCCTGTATGTATTCTTAGCCATTTCCATTTTTTGTTGAATACGTTTTAACATGGATGGCGGGCGTTTCCGAGCAAGCCACCTGGTTAACCCATTGTTATTTACTAAGATATATTTTACAGTTGTGAAATGTGAGCTAGTGGACATACTATAAAATGGATTTTCGCATGTCCAGAACAAACTTTCTTATTATATGGAACGATTTTTATAAAATTTTGATATCATGTCCTTCTGAAAAGCAATTACACACATTATCGAAAATCAAATACGACTTATGAAGCAGACGAACTTGTCGCTAGGACCAGGCATCAAATGTCTCGGGAGCGGAATGCCGGAAGTAGAGAAAGTGGTACATCTTGTTGAGATGCATACAATAGTACCACATTCGGCCTGTCGAATCACTAGTAACGGAATTATGGAATTTAGTTTATTTCATTTGAATTTGTGTCTTAGTGTTGATTTTCCATTATAGAATTATTGTTTGCGACAAGAACTTTCAATATCGGGCAAAAGTTAATTAATTTCAACGAAAATGCACATCTGGCGCAAATAAGATAACGCACGCACGTTCCGAATAATTGCGCGTCTCGTCAGAAGAAAAGAAAAGGGGACTTCACGCGCGTTGTTGACATCTGATTTAATTGTAATTGGTACATTAGTTGTAAATACCGGTTGTTTTGATAAATTAATGTTGGCGACAACAAAAAAGCTTGCTGGTTCGCGACGGTTGGAAAAGTGTGAACGTCTCTTTACACTATTTTTATTCGGGTAGTGCCTCCTATTTGATTAAGTGAAGACGTGGTTTGGTGTAATTATAAAATCTGTAGAGAAGAAAGTTAACTGAAGTTGTTTAAAAGTTGCAAAAAGCTTAAAGCGTGTTGTCGGCTTTACAGAAAAAAAGGTAGTCAAGTTGAATAATCGTATTCAATGTGTCAGTGTGTTTGTCACTAAGTTTGTGTGTTAAAGAAAAGTGAAGTTCTGAAGTTGTCAGCGTTTGTGTTAAGTGCACCTGTTTATCGCAAACCTGTTTACGACCGGATTATTTGGATTATTTAAAAAAAACTGTAAGCAATTTGAAGATTTCTTATTTTCACCATCGACCGCTTGCGTGCGGGGTAATAATTTAAAACAGGCTGTGTGTCGTTTCTTTCTTCCAGGAATTTTGTTTTAATTTCCTTTTTATGTGTGTCGGAATAAATTTTTGTCATTATCAATCAATTAATTGTGTGTTTATTCGAATCCGAGTCTTTATGTCAGATTTTTCTCTTCGTATCCAAGATTTATTTCAGGTGCTGATAAAAATTCTTAATAAATTATTTGGAATTTTGAAAGTTGATCGAGGTCACTGAGTCTCCCAATTTATTAATTTGTTAATATTAGGACCTTGCTTTATAGCAGATGCCTGATTGATCTGTATGAGCATAAATAATTTATTTTTTCGTGTAAAAGTTTGACATATTGTGTTATGTTGACATAGCTCTAGATAGCGTCAAAATTTTAAAACCTGGTACCACTCCCAAGTAGTGTGGAGAAACTTTTCCTACCTCTTCTGACCTAGTACCACTAAAATATTGTTGAATTAATTTTCTGCGTATTAATAATTTTTTTCTAGAGATATAATGTATAATGTTATCTCAACCAGCGAGCTAGACCGTTAAAAATTTTAAGTCATTTCATTCGCGGTAAAGGAGGGGTAACAAATCCCTACTTCATTTCAAATTTTAACATTTTAGAGGAAACAAGTGACACTCAAAGGCATTGGCTAATTTAACAATTTAGTGTTAGTGCCATTTTTAATGAACATAATATAAAGTTATATTGTTTAATGTAAGTTTTGCCAACCTTACCTTTTATTAATCGTATATTATATTATACTTTGATACTTGACAATAAATTATTGAGTGTATTTTTAGGAAATTTTTGCAAATTTATTTGCAAAGGTAGTTTTTGACCTCACTTTGATCGGCCGGCCGGAGCGCCCGTAGAAGCACAAAGATGAGGAGTGTACGTGTACGCACCGGGCCGTGTAATTAACAACTTTAGGGACGGGGTTACATTATGTGGGGTTCGCGACATCTGGGTGCCATCCCCAAGCGTAGTTTACCAACGTGGCGATTTTTCAGTTTTTTTCCTATCTTCTACTTCTGCGTAATTTTTTTCCCTAGGGGCGAAATTAACCATCTTTTGCAAGGCGCGTATCTTCGAGGGGTAGGCGACTTTGGGCGCCCAAAAGTTACCTTCCGCTGCGAATTTTGTCACGCGGTTTAAAGTTTCTTAAGGCTCTTTCTTTCCCGTGTCGTTAATAGAGCTATGAGAACTGCCCCAAAAATTGAGTACTATTTTGTGGAGGGTTTTAGCAAAATCCACCAAAATGGCGCATCGATATCGACAAAGGAAATGTGGTAACCCCGGACAAGATCTGATGGTGGAGTCAAAACTTCAATAAAATAGAATGGCAATAAATATTAAATACTGCCACAACCTAAGTAGGTGCAGGTACCTCGTCTTCATCAGACGACGACATTTTAACAAGTGATCCTTTAATTTTTATTACTGTGGTATGCGAGATATCACAAAGTGTACTCCCTGTTGCTTATTGCCTATTGCTAGTTGCTCATTGATAATTGCTCCGGTGTCCGAGCGTATTAAAGGGTATGAATAAAACTGTAAATAAATGCTTTTGCTTAGAAGTATGAAGCAAATGCTCATGAAGATATAAAAAGTTAGCCATTTGCTTTCAATTGCGTATTTACTTGTCGAAAAGTGATGTTGCTATTTAGTAGCATCAGAGCTGTCACTATTAGAGGTTCTTCACGTTTTTAATGCATTTTCCAAAAGGGAAATGGACGTTTTTATCCGCACTTTGTTCGTCTGTATCACTAGTAGTCTCTCAGTTTAAGCTTATTCGTTGTGGTTTCTTTTCTTTCTTATACTGTGTAGCACAGCCCGAGACCAGAACGGTAAAAGATTGTTTGGATTATTCACTTCTTCCCCAAGTTATTACTGGTTCTGTGCCGGGAACGAGCGCCTTCGTCGGTCGCAAGTGACCACGTTTTAAATTTGTTACACTGTTGTTTGGTTGAAAGTAAAAGGCTGAAATGATAAATCTCCGAAATGTAAAGTACTTAATACAAGAAACAGAGTACACCATCAACGAGTGATTTTAAAAATTTGGTCCAGTTTGAAGACGAATATTTGGCAAATCCAGGGTTTCAAAGCGGAATTGGTAAAGAGCTATATTGCAGTCCATTGTTTCTCGCACCGCAAAAAAAAAATTCTACAGACTAATCGTTGGATTCAGTTTCCTAAAAGTCACCATGCCATAATGGAAGCTAAAGAGCTGTGGGTAAGTCAGTTTAGATTTCCAACTGCTATTGGAGCACTGGACTATTCATATGTGAAATCAGAGAAACTTAAATTACACGGGGACGAATACGAAAATCGCAAAGGAGAACTAACTTTGAATGTACAAGCTACGTGCAATGGAAAATACATATTCACCAGCGTGGATGGGGGCTGGAAAAATGCCGACGTGAGAGAAGTAAAGCGATGCACAGCGAACGCCGTTCTCATTCCTGATCAGAGATATGGAATTGAACTTTGGCTTATGACTCTTCGAGAACCTGTCGACACAAACGTAAAGTATCCTTACAATAAACTGTTGTCAAAGAAAAGGGTAATAATCGAGCAGTGTTTTTGACAACTGAAACGGCGCTTTCCTAAATTGAAAAATGGTTGTGGCGTGAAATTGGCTCATGTCACAGATATAATTGTAGCTTGTATTTTTTGACATCGGTCTTTTTGAAACGCGTCTTCATGTTATTGGTTTTCTTCATTAGTTGTCCCCTAAGACTTCCATATCATTTTAATATTTTTGTAACCCACCTTGTTTCTTTTTTTTACATGCTGGCGTTTGCGACTTACTAAGGCCATTGAATAAACTTAATTTTTTATTCAATGCTAAGGACACTAGATATTTACTGACTGGACTTGCTATAAATTCCATTACCTGAACCTTACTATCACTTGCACATGCAACATTACCTTCGCGGATGACGACATTTTGAACACTGAATAACGGTATGTGCACAACAGGTCACTGGTAAACTACAGGTATAAAGATAAACACACAAAATTTTGTTATTCTTCAGCGTGAAATATGATCACTTGAGCAGTACCTCCAACTCCCAATATTTTAATCAATATCATAAGGTAATCATTATTTAGAATGAATGAAGTAATTACTTTTACTCCTACCTTTTGATATAATCAAGCAAATGGTTATATCAAAAGGTAGGAGTAAAAGCAATTGCTTATGTGATGGTTTTGTCCGTCTGTTCCGCCTAACTCGAGAACAAAAGGAGATAGCGCTGTCAAACCTTCGCCAATCGATTTCTACGAGTTCGCTATTGAATATGAGCCGGATTAAAAGTCTGGTTTCCGAATGCGAGCTGATTGGCAAACAATTTCCCTATTGAAAGTCGTATGCGATTCGTCGTATCTTGTTCTTCTTCCTTATGCTTATAATAAGCATTTACTTTATTTTTATTCGTATGGGCCAAGGGCTTTTTTGCAAAATCTATAATGGCGCTAGCTGAACTCAAAATGGCGCTAGCTATAGAGATTCTAGCGCAATCTTGCTTTTCCGGAAATTTAAAATTGTGATAAGTTAACGTTCATCGGCACTGGCTTTTCGCCTATAAGTGGAAATAATGCGAGTCATCCTGTATTTTTACTCACGCTATTTACTATACGAGTATATGATACATGCACTTTTGTAAACAACAATGCAATTAATAAAAAATTATAGGAAAGCACAAACATTTATCCTAAGTAGGTCTAGACGATGCGGAACGCTGAAATCTACAGGTGCAGGCAACTTTTCATATCGTATGCCATACGTATGTCCGTCCACTTATTTCATATGGATAAATCGTGAACGAAGAAGAATTTTCATAACAAGTGAGGTTAATATTATTCTGCGCACACCAAAACTCAATTTACATAAATTAAGTATCATTCTTAAACTCACCTTTTTCCAATTTCGCGAGAATCTACAAGTTGTGGCGTTGATGTGGCTTTTGTTCTTCTTTCGACACTTTCCACCGGGGATCGACGACGATTAGCTTCATGAGATGGCTGAAATCACAATAAACACAAATTTCAATACGTTTAATTACGGATAATAAACATTCAGTCTTGAGCATTACGCAATGCATAGATAGTACGAGTAAGCTCTAATAAAAGTAAATTAAAGTTCCATGCAATGTCTCTAAATAGCCAATTCGTTGCGAGATGAAATTGCTCTTTTGTATAAAAATCGTAACTGCGCTATTTCTTTTATTTTCTCAGATGTTCCAATTACGAAGTGCAGTTTTATGTCGACGTAAATAGTAGCGTAGTTTAATAAAACTAGGAATCTTTAATCTAACAAAGTTTAAAGTACAAAAATCCGATTTGATGGTGGAAGGATTGCTGAAAGGATTGTTTCCAACTAAAGTTACCACTCCATAAAATATACGGACCAACGCGCGAATTTCATTTATATTTTAGTAGGATGAATTGGAAAACAGAATTAGGTAGTCGAACTTTCTTATGGTGACACGCATAGTAGTGGAAATGTGGAAATACACAGTGTGAAATAGTTTTATAAACGCGACCAGAATGATAAGACCATAATGATGTTTTTGTTCAAATAACGAGCCTTTGTGTGCCAAACACAACATTATTCATAAAGGTTAAGTAATAGCATAGAGTAAAAAATATGTTTTTGTTAGCCAATTCAAAGTACTACAAGTGTTTGATCGGAATACCTGCAAGATTTTCATTAACTATACACCCTAAATTCATAATTTTGATAAGGGCGGAAAACATGCAAAAATATGTTGATTTCGTACCACTCCTGCACGTCCCACTTAACAATTATAATATTTGTGTTCCCCACAGACCGGCACTGTTGAGTGATTCTTTCTAGGATTCTTCACTAATAATTTTAAGGGCCAAAAAATTCTCTTTGCAAGACTGTCCAGAAAATGAAATTTGCATGGTCCAAGAATTGTTTAAAAATTTACTTCATTGCGTGTACAAAATTGCCTAACCAATAGTACATCAGTCTATGTTGAAATTTTGTTACTGTCTTATTTGTGAAGATCTCTTCGGATCTTTCAGTTTTTCGGACGTATGGGATTAATTAGATTCTTCAAACTATTCTCCAGTTTTCAGTTTCTTCAAGATTCTTAAAATTCCGGTTTTTCCAGATTGTTCGGATTCTTCAGACTCTTAAGATTCTTTAGTTTCTGTAGATGCATTGAACCCTTCAAATGCATTGTATTAATCAGGTTACCTGCATTCTCCAGGTTCTTTCGATTTCTGGTATACTTTCGGTATTGTTAGCATATTCAAATTCCCTCTGTCATTAAGATTCTTAAAAATATATTTCGATCCATTGGATGCTTGATATTCTTCAGGTTTAGATCCGTTATTCATTTTTCCGTTTCTTCAAGTTCTTTAGTTCCATCAGCTTTTATGATTCTCCAGAAACTTATGATTTATAAAATTTTTCAGATGCTGATGTTTGGAGATCCTTCGAATCTCAAGGTTCTTTTTTGCAGAAATCGATTTCAAGGCATCCTAAAAAATTACTTCATAGGCTTGGTATCAGATGAAGGCGTGTCTAATCCTGCGTTGTTTAGGTGAAACAAATGTATTCCACGGTTCTTTGAAATATTAAAAGGAACCACAAATGTTTATTGTTTCTATAAAGCAATCGATTTCGGGTTAACCACCCATCATCAGGCTATGCTGAAAAATATCACATGAATTTGAAGTTGAACACAGGATTAAAATTATTACCGTCATTTGATATATATAAAATGCAGCGACATTGAGTTGAATAAAATTGGATAAAAAGTATTAATAAAATTACATTAATGAAGACAGTAGGTACATCGGGAACATCTTGACTAGGGGTACATCTTATTTGGATGCAATTATAAAATTTAGTTCTTAAGAGCACAGTCATGTTGAAATTTGGTTATTACTTATGACGGTGTTTAAGTACTAATTTCTGAGCCCGTATACGTTATGCAGTGCGTTAAAGATAGCAAACGCAATCAGTAAGAAGCGAACACTAGTAGACCTGCCGACTCACTTTCAGATTTTGTTCATCTAGGCCTAAGATATCAATTGCGAAAAACGATATAGCAAACCTGTTTCCTCTATTGACTTTTCGTATTAGCAATCTTGGATGGACTGACAGACCGAACGTGGCATTTCATTAGAAGCTTTTCAAAGTAAAAACTTTCTTTTATAAAAATTAAATTACCTGATTAAAGCGCTTTACAGTCACATTGGGACTGACTGTAACAAATTACACCAGACAAGAAATTGCGTGATACTCATACACGATTTTTTCTAAACAAACATTCGGTCCAAAATGGTTCCAAAAAACCAAAAATTTGAATGTAAGCTTTAATTTTTTCTCGGCAACCAGACGATATAACGACTTTTATCTATATTTTTTGGTATGGATTTGTAATATTTCCAAAATATCTGCTCCAAGTTGGCGCATCGTTAAAGGCGGGAGAATTATTTGAGCGTAACAGTTTTGGTAGGCATCCTGTATATTGGTTATCGTCTTGAGAATATATTCGCATTAAACAAAGACAATAACACATTAGTGTTACCTCCGATTCCTTTCTGGGCTAATAAAAATCTTCAGCAGGTTATTAACAGCACAGAAGAAAAAAGTATAATTGAATTAAAAAAAAACTTGCTCCTTACACTTTACAGGATGAAGTTTCCACTTTGATCTAGTACAGAAATCAATTTAAAAATAACTAGATTACACTATTGGAGAACTGACATGTTCACAGCCTGATCATGTAACAAATTGGCAGTGTCTCAAACGTCTCCACTAATAAACGCAAATTGAATTTGCAGCCACAAAAAATCACTCGTCATCATTTCATGTTCCATTTCGTATAGCGGTTGGATAAGTATTGAGGTTTTAGAATTTGTATCGTCTTATATCAATTACACGAAACGTGCCGTTTCCATGTTATCCGACAGATCTTGTAAATTGTTTTGTCGTTTTCTACCGCTAAAATGTAGGGAGCTTGAGCCGTCTTCTCTGAAAATTAACTTCGCATTAGTGTGAACGAATGGAATAGCACACAAACCCTCATTGTTTCGATACAATACGTTAATTTGCATCTTTTAGTGGGCAATAAGGTAATTGATCGGATCAGATCAGGTACCGTCAATATATAGTTATTTATTATACAAGGGAAAAAGCATTAGATTTTAGCTGGAGAGCTAACATCTAACACTTTTCTCGTATAAGTATAATACCACAGGTGATAATACACTATTTTTTTTCTGTGACGGGGAAAACGATATATTGAAATCGTATCGATTTATAGAAATTTGACGTTTTAAACTGCAGATAAGCTGTTGTACTTCTCGCGGCAATATACGAACTGCGTTGCTAAGGGAACCTTTACTTGAGTATTTGAATATCTGTCAATTTATTTAAGATTGTTTAATAGTTATATTGAATGATATAAAGTTAAAAATCTAAATTGGGATCCATCTTGTAAGCTCAAAATGGGGTTTCAAACTTCTTCCAAATTTAATAAATATACCTTCCCCATGGAATTTATTGTGTAGAAAATAGTAAATGCGACTAGTTTCGTCAATAAGGCATCTTCAGGCGTTAATTATAAATGAGTTGTTTAAATTATGAAACAATTTCAGGGTCGGTTAAGCCGAAACTGAAACATTTTAAAACGGAATTGATGGGGAGGTATAAGTACTTAACCTATGAAACTTGTCGTGTTACAGAGGGAGTACATGGACGTTATGAATTGATTTTAGACATTAAAACAAAAGTTTACACATCAACAAATTTAAAGTTTCCAAATGCCAGTGTTTATCTACGATGCCAACTTAAAATTTGTCACCGTAAAAGGTCTTGCCAACCTAAGACATATCAATGTTTCCTGTAGTTTTTGATAGTAGTCGACTTTGGGCGCCCACAAGTTCTTGGAGCTCGAATCGCGATCTCGCTCTTTCGTGTCGCCAATAGAAGCTCGAGCTATGAGTTTTTTAGGGGGGATTTAGCGAAATCCACCAAAATGCGAATTGCAAGTGAATGGGACGTCAGAACTGTGTACCGACAAAGAGAATGTGGTAGCCCCCGATAACATCTTATTGATGGCGGAGTCAAAACTTCGAACTCGAAATGCAGATGAACGAGACATCGGAAGTGGGTACCGACAAAGGGAATATGGTGGCCCCCGACAAGATTTTACCGATGGTGGAGTCAAAACTTCAAACTCGAATTGCGGGTGAACGGGCCATCGGAAGTGGGTACCGACGAAGGGAATATGGTAGCCCCCGACAACATTTTAATGATGGTGGAGTCAAAAGTGGCTAATAAAACACTGATCTGCCACACAAAAATGCGCTGAAGTCCCTTCGATCTCACACGAAGACTTTGATAATGTTTTCTATAATAGATCGCGGAAAAAAAGGGAGCGAAGGATTGTGAGAGAGCAAGAAGTAGTCAATGTCAGAGCGGAGGCTTCCACGGTCAAAGCCCTTAAGATGCGGGCGACTTTCGGGATAGGACCGTGTCAGTATTGAAAGAAAAGTCAACGTTACTTCGTAATGATAAACAACTTCCTCCTGTCCCCTTTGGAAAGTGAACGAACTTTTCGACAACATTGACAATGACATGGTTATATCTCGGAAGTCGCTCACATATTAAAAATGTAATCACTTCTGTCGACACTGACCAAGTGGCGCTTTCGAATTTTCTTTAGGTTAAAATTTTTTCTTTCCAAACCTCATAATGACATTGAATACGTACACTTACGTATTTATAAAACACTACACTACTACTACTAATTATGCTCCACAAAATGCGACCTCTAGTAATAGATCTCTCTTTATTCACAAGTGTTCGCCAATATACCGTCGGGTCGATTGTATTAATGTACCTAACAGATGAGAAGGTCTCACAACACTCTGAATTCACTATAAATACTACTGTAACGTAAAAATCTTGAAATGAATTGATTTACAATAGTTAAACTATTATTTATCACTCATATATACACAATTTATAACAGCGC